CACGTCCAGCGGCTGCGGTCTGAGATCGACAGCGTGAAGAAACAGGTAAAAAGCAGGAAACCCCACACTTTTAACCAGTTTACCCCCTGGCTTGCAAGGGAAAGGAAGGAAAATATCAGAAGCAACCTTGGCAAGTTCTGCTCAGCTTGATCCTTTTTCTCTCAAAAGAAGAACTGCCACTGAAAATGGTTACGCTGATGGTGCTGGAATAAAACCTCGTGATTTCAGGGTAGATAAAGAACAAGTCTAGGTCTTGTATGGGGAATTTGACTGGGGGTTTCTCTTCTATAGTGCACCAATCTGAAAGCGGCCATTGCAGACGCTGAGGAACGTGGGGAGCTGGCCCTCAAAGACGCCAAAGCCAAGCTGGCCGAGCTGGAGGATGCTCTGCAGCAGGCCAAGGCTGACCTGGCCCGGCAGCTCCGCGAGTACCAGGAGCTCATGAACGTCAAGCTGGCCCTGGACATCGAGATCGCGACCTACAGGAAGCTGCTGGAGGGCGAGGAGTGCAGGTGGGTGGGAAACACAATCCTTCTAGTCCTGTTGTTGGAGGAGCAAAGCAATGCAAGGGCTGGAGATGCTCAGAATTTCTGAAATGTTAAAATGGGCATTAGGGATGGGGAGGGGGGAACACTGTCCTAGCTAATGGAAATAACATTACCGGAAGCTTCCCTGAATTGCGTTGAGTTATTATTTTTCTCCCCAAAGGTCTCTAGGAAATGTGCCCTATTTTTTCTCCCCACTATCAGCAGACTTCTTATCCTCTTACCTTGTTGTGTTCTGTCCCCTAACAGGCTGGCTGGAGATGGTGTCCCAGTGAATATTTGTAAGTGTCTCAAATATATCTCATTATCTTATTTAAGTGTCATCAGTGTCTCTCTGCACCAAGAAGCAATGGCCAGAGAAACTGAAAGCTTTTTCTTCTCCTTCTTGCAGCCGTGACCAGAACAACTGTGGGAACGGGATACGGAGGAGGAAGCAACCTCAGCATGGGAGGGGGAATCTGCAATATGGGGAACAGCTTCAGCTGTGGAAGCGGTCCTGGGGTTAGCAGCACCACCCTCGGAGCCGGCAGCAGCTCCAGTGTGAAGTTCGTCTCAACCTCCTCCACCAGAAGAAGTTACAGAAGCTAAATGTTTCCTTTCAGACCCCTTCACTTGGCAGAAACCCCCTCAGCACTGGTCCTTTACTAAAGCATAGTTGGGGTCAACAGAACGAGGGCCACCTAAACCCTTTGTCTTGTCACACAGGAGCCTCACTTTAGGAACTCTCTCTCAGCTGTGTTGTCTAGCGCGTGTTGTGTAGGGCTCTGCTATTGAACATGAGTCCAACTGTTTTAAATTTGCAACTTGCTTGTTACAGCTCAGCATTTTTTGGCCGGATTTTGTATATAAAATGTGTCCCATGACTGTTTGTCTCTCTTCACTTTCTGGTGTTTGTCTAATAAAAATGCATACGTAATTTATTCTATTTTGTGGACCTTTTAATTAAAGACACGGAACGGCAAATGCAAATGCAGATAACAAGCACTTTTCCTAGGGCCCTGCCCAGTTAAAGGCTCAGATTTTTGCTCGTCATTCGTATTTCCTGAATCTCTCCATTAGCAGCCAAAACACACAGGCACAGCGTAGCACCAGAGGGAGGTTTGCCATTGATTTCAATGTTCTCCCCACTGTGCAAGTAAAACACCTGGAAGCTAAACACAGGGCACGCCAAGGCAAGAGTCGGGCACAGGGGAAAAGGTCTAAGATTCATTTACTAAGCAGCTTTCAGCCAATACAACATCCAACAGCCTAGCTCCCAGGGGGCACAAAGGGCAGTGCCAAGTGTGTGATGTACCTGCATAAACTTCTAACAATAGGGAACTAATTACTAGGGGAGTCAGAGCACTCACCCGCAAGCATATCAGTCCATCTCAAAACCCCTTTTGCTGTGAGCTGTCTCACCTAAGCGTAGGTGCCAGCAGTGCAAACATCTGACGGAGCAGGTTGCAAATGCTCCCTTTCTGTCCAGAGCATCGGCCACACTGGTTTAGGTGCTTATCTTCAGTCTTGATGCTGATGATCCCCATCCTTTGACTATCAGCAGGTGGAGGATATGGTCCATATGCATTCACATGCTACATTTAATTAGATGTCGCTCATGCAATAGCTATCAAAAGTATCCAAGAATGGGATACCGGTTGGAAAGTGAAAACCACCAAGACCCAATGTTTCCTCACATTTCTAGAGTACACCGGAGACAAGATCTTGTTCTGAGAAGGTGGAGAAAAAGCAGAGGAGGTGTAACAATTCTAGATGTGCTTCTGACTAATCGGGAGAAATTAATTGAGAAGTAAATGCAGGGCATGGTCTGGGTGAAAGCTACAGAGTAACAGAGCTCATTGCTGGAAGATTAACTGAACAAACAAATGTGATTAGAAAAAAGGTCCCAACCCTTACTCCATGTATTTCAGTAAGTTCAAGTAGTGGGTAGAGAAGTCCTCTTAGGAAAATACTCAAAGAGATGGGCAAATAAACAGGAATTGGAAGTGCCTGAATGATAGACTGTATTCAGGTTTTCCTTAGAGACCAGCAGTTTCCCATGATTTCCTAGGATCCTCTGAACTCTGCGTGTTCCTCTCGGTATCCCTCTGGAAATCTCCTTCCCCAAAACTCACAGGATCGGTTATGGGTGTGCTGCAGCTCTCCACTCCTGCTCCACCACCTCTCCCTGCTGAATACTCACAGCAGCTTCCTGGGAAGGAGCAATGTCCTCACCCTGAACAGCAGCCTGGGCAAGGTCAAGCAATGGTCTTCCTCACTGCTGTCCAAACACTCCCTAACAAAGAGGATGCAACGTATACAGCCAACGGGCACATCAGACGGATGCCATCCATTGCATCAACACCTGGGTCATATCACAGAGATTATGAAGCCCTTCATCCAGCACAGGAAAGGCTGGAGCCAGAATATTTGTTCTCCCAGGGCATCCCTTTTTAAGCAAGATACAAAACCGCCCTGGCAAAGGTTTGCATCTCCGGGTACATGACCCATGTACAGCTGTCCTTGCTCCAGAGCAGGGTTCTGGTCACCATGTACGTAAACTTCTGCATCCAGTCCCGCTGGACAAGATAAGCAGACACAGTGATGACCTGGGGTTTATATTTCAGTGGGAGAGGACAGCCCTTGTTAACTCTAGCACAGCCCAGATTAAAATGTTAGTCATAATAAAACGAATGGTGCTTGCACTCAGGGGCTTCAATTTGCAATGCACGGAGGGAACTGATTGCTAATTGCTACCCATAACGTTTTTAGAGAGTTCTTTAGGACAGATGGTCAGTAGCTTAGTCACCGAAGCTTTGCTCTCTTAAATACTGCTGCTTGTTGTAACGCACAGTAGCTGAAACACTCCCAGAACAGTTATTTTAGCTTTGTTCTAGGGTGTGTAATGGAAACATTAGACTACTAGAGAGGAAAATAGAAAATTAAAAAAAAACAAAACAAAACAAAACAAAAAAAACACCCAACCATGGCTGAAAGGCAAAGAGACGTGACGAGCAAGTTCCCCTCCTGGGACCTCCTGGTCAAACTCACCTGACTGCCCAGCACCCACATGTGAAATGGCAAGTGCAAGCGCGCATTTGAAAGATGCATCTGCAAAGACCTGCTCCTTCCCCTGGTGCCGGCACGCGTCTTTCCAATGGCTGCGGAAAGCTATGACTTCCCAGCAAACACTCTGCAGGTGGGCTGCTACCTCCTCTGATGAGTTCAGCTTGGGCATGGGCATCCGCAAGAGAGACCTCCCTGGGCAAACCCAAAGGGCTGCAGGGTCCCAGAGAAGCATGTGCCTCCCCGGGCGCCCAGACAAGGCACTGGGTGCGACTTTCGAGCATGTTGCCTGCTCTAGGATAAGTGCCAGGTGCACAGTGCTACCACACAGCGTGCACGGGGCGAGTCAAGACACCATGTGTCTTTCACTACAGAAATGCACTATTTGACTTTTCCTGGGTGCTACGCGGAATAAGAGCAAAGGGAGTTGTCTGTGAACAATGCCTTAAGCCCAGATCCCAACGAATTTCCTTGTGAGTAAGAGATAGCAGAGGGGGAAGACAACAGACATGGAGAGGGCAGCCTGGGAACAGGCTTCACACCATGTGGAGACAAAGTCACCCCGTGAGTCAGGAAACAGCTCAAAAATCTGTAAAGGTGAAGCCCTGAGAAATTGCCAACTCAGGTTTCGTGTCGTCACAGACAACAGTAACTCCCTCCCAGGTCATATTCTGATACCTCACCATTTGTTGTCAGTCTGAACCAGGATGAAACGTAGACACTTTTTGCAGAAAGAAAAGGTCTGAAAATACCATTCATAAAATTACCTTCTATGTCCTTCCCACTCCCCCAGATGGTTTTTGATAGCTGATGGTCCAAGACTCCCACTAATGGGAAAACCACCCTGGCTTTCCCTCCATCACCTCTTTCTCCCTTCTGTATCAGTTCTGGTCCAAATCACTCTTGTCTGGGCATGAGAACAAGAGTCCAGATTTTCCAGCAAGTCGGGGCCTGAGGTGTTAATGCCCCACTGGAGTTTACTCAAAACCACAGTAGCAGGAAAACACAGACCCGCAATAACAGATTTCTCAGACCTCAGACCACTGCACTGTGAAATAACGTGCCTTTACGCAACAGGATTGATTCACCCATGAAATAGAGATGAGCGAGCGCTTGCCCAACAAGGGGAACCATCTATTGCAGAGGTGAAAGGAGGGAGTGAGAAAGAGGTGGCTGTGAACAAGAGTTGAGCAGGCAGTATTTAGTGTTTTCTCAGATATTTCGACAGTCAGATCATGACTGTCACAAAAAAATGCAACTCCTGCACTTTGTGAGTGCTTCATAGGTGCTTGTGCTCACGGTGGACTCACTGTCCGCTTTGCTGCTGGGTGTGCCGAGCCCAGTTAATCAGTAAGATGAGCACCACACCAGACCCATCCCCAGCTAGTTAGAGTATAAAAGGGCCAGTCCCAGCCTGGGGGAGCACAGCTTCACCTTGCTGCCTTCATCCCCTTCCTCGCTGCTTTATTCCTTCTGCCGCTCTCACCCTGCTCACGTCAGCTGCCATGTCTCGCCAGTGTGCTGCAAGGAACCAGAGCAAAACTGGCTTCAGTGCTGCTTCTGCCTTCATCCCAAACACCAGCAGCACCAGCTTCTGCTTACGTTCTGCATCCCAAGGTGGAAGCTGCAGTACCGCCCCTGGGTATGGAAGATTTGCTGGAGGTTTTGGAAGCAGGAGCCTTTACAGTCTTGGTGGATGCAAGAGGATCTCCGTAGCTGGAAGAGGTGGTAGCTTCTATGGACCTGCAGGTTTTGGTGCTGGCACTGGGATCTCCTGCGGTTTTGGTGGTGCACTTGGTGGTGCCTTTGGGTTTGGTGGTGGCATGGGTGGCCCTGGATTCCCTGCTCTCCCAGCTGGGGGCATCCATGAAGTCTCAGTCAACCAGAGCCTTCTGAAACCTCTCAACCTGGAGATTGACCCCAACATCCAGAGTATCCGTAAGGATGAGAAGGATCAGATTCAAACCCTCAACAATAAATTTGCCTCCTTCATTGACAAGGTGAGACATAAGATTTCTCAGTTATGCTGTGCTGATTTTTCAGTGGGGAAGCACAGACAAGGGCAAGTTATAACTTTCTCAGCAATTTTGCTGCTCTTGTACTGTCATTTCTAAGCAGCAGCCTGGGAATAAAACCTGAGGGGTTCCAGCTTTGAGACCATTCAACCCTTGCATTAATGCTGAGATGAGACCAGCCATCGGGGAAAATGGTGATATAGGATATAAGGAAGCAGAGTTTGCAAAGAGAGCAGGAATGTTAACATCAGATGTGCAATGCTTGTTTGCTTGCTTGCTTGTACAAATTGTCAGTTGTTCCCCAAGGGCTGAGAGCTCCCACCTTTCAGCTAGTCAATCCCTGCAGGACTGTACCTTGCCTCTCTAGGGAAAGCCATCCTAAAATCGCTGTTTCTGAAACATCTTTCTCTATCCAGGTCCGATTCCTTGAACAACAAAATAAGGTCCTGGAGACCAAGTGGGCCCTTCTGCAAGAACAGGGGAACAAACCAGTCAGAAATAACATTGAGCCCCTCTTCGAGACCTACATCAACAACCTCAGGAGACAGCTGAACAGCTTGCTGACAGACAAGGAGAACTTGGGAGGGGAGCTGAACAAGGTGCAAGGCCTTGCTGAGGACTTCAAGAACAAGTAAGTCTGTCTATCTGCTGTCTGCAACAGATGCCAGCTCTCTGTTGCATCCCTGCAATCAAACAAGGAAAGAAGGTCTTTTTGCTGATATAATCTTCTGAATAAGGCCCAAGTCAGGCTTCATATGAGATGTATTCAGCCTCACTTCCCCATGGCTGGAAGTCACAGGCAGAAAATTATAGGGCTAAGAGACCAAGGGACATACATATGTACATAAAAAAAAAAAAATAAGAGGCTAGTCCTGAAAATATGAAATAACTTTTGGACAAGCCTAGACCAACCCTCCATTTCCATCCCACAGATATGAAGAGGAGATCAACAAGCGTACAGCTGTTGAGAATGAATTTGTGATCCTGAAGAAGGTGGGTGCATGTACGCTGTGCCTCCCAGCCCTGGTCCAGCATAGCAAGAAACGCGTTCTCCAACTTTTCCTCTGTTTCTCCAAAAAACACTTCATTTTTGTAATGTGTTTCCTGTTCTAGGAGGTGGATGCTGCCTACATGAACAAGACAGAGCTGCAAGCCAGGCTGGACTCCCTTATGGAGGAAATAGATTTCCTCAGAGCCCTCTATGAAGCTGTAAGCACTGGCATTTACACCCTTCTCCCAGTTTCCAATGTCTTTGCCTTCCTTTCTCACTTCAGAGGCTCAGGACTGATTATTTTCTCCTCTTTTGTACTAAATAATTCCATGCTTTTTCCACTTCACCTGCTGTCTTAATTCTGCCTGAAACCATCTTGGAAAAATCACTGTCCATCCAGATCTACCCTCTAACTTGGGAGGTTTCCTCCCTCTGAGAAACATTAATTTCTCACACCTGTGACTCACCGAAATACCCACTGCTTTTGCAGGAGCTGTCTCAGATGCAGACCCAGATCTCCGACACCTCAGTCATCCTGACCATGGACAACAACCGCAGCCTGGACATGGATGGGATCATCGCGGAGGTCAAAGCGCAGTACGAGGACATCGCCAACCGGAGCCGGGCAGAGGCCGAGTCCTGGTACCAGTCCAGGGTGAGTGCCTAGGGAGGCTTCTGCAATGGGAAAACCGCACTCCATCCCCCAATTTCCCACGAGGAGGTTGGTCCCAGTGTGATTTTTATAACACAGGATGTCTATAAAGTTCGGAAGTGCTAATTTGGGATTGAGAATACAGGCATACTTCTGAGTGCCAACACCCACGTACCCGCATCCTGCTTGGCTCTAAAACCAATATATTTCACCTTGACTAGTTGTTCCTCTCTCTGTGACAGTATGAAGAGTTGCAGGCTACCGCAGGCAGGCACGGGGACGACCTCCGTCACACCAAGCAGGAGATCTCCGAGCTCAACCGCCACGTCCAGCGGCTGCGGTCTGAGATCGACAGCGTGAAGAAACAGGTAAAGGGCAGCGTAAAGGCGTAAGACTAAGCTCTTGCTGTGGCCTAACCTCTTGGTTGTCCAGCCAACTCCAGGGAACAAAAATAAATGCATCTCAGTGAGTCCTGCTGGATCAGGAATGAATGTGACAGCATTTATTTCAGTGCAGTCACACCACCAAGAGTAACTTAATGCAATATTAGTGAACCAAAGGTGATGTTAATAAGTGCAGAGTTAGATTAAATCCAGTTGTGACCTGGCTCAGAACATGGATCAATTCAGTGACCGTTAAGATCACACCTATAGATGTTAACCCAAAGTCTTCTGCACCTAGACCAGGAGTCATGACCTCAGGGTACAAAGAACTTGTCTATGCTCTAGAAAAGGAATGCAACCACTATTTTTCCTCCACAGTGCGCCAGCTTGCAGACAGCTATTGCAGATACCGAGCAGCGCGGGGAGCTGGCTCTCAAGGATGCCAGGGCAAAACTGGCCGAGCTGGAGGCAGCTCTGCAGAAAGCCAAGGCTGACCTGGCCCGGCAGCTCCGCGAGTACCAGGAGCTCATGAACGTCAAGCTGGCCCTGGACATCGAGATCGCGACCTACAGGAAGCTGCTGGAGGGCGAGGAGTGCAGGTGGGGGCAATTTTATATCCCAATTTCCAGAAGTGCAGCAGAGTCATAGACCCGTGTTGGGTTTAGACTTCCCACACTCAGAAAACCTGAAACCTGTTTAAAGGCAAACAGTTGTCCAGGAATATGGTAGCCCTTTGCACAAACTTTCCAACTTCCACCAAAAATATTCCAGAAAATTTTCCTGCCTTTTTCAACCAGCTCCAGTCATGGATTCCCCTTGAATTCTTACTGGTTCATTTTGCTCCCTAACAGGCTCTCTGGAGAAGGTGCCAGCACGGTGAATATCTGTAAGTAACTTTTAAGGATAGTTTGCCAACTTTTACATTTGTCTCCCTGCCACTCAGAGCCCACTGTTTGTGGATGCCACTAAAGAGGGTGTTTTCCTCTTGCAGCTGTGACCAGAACCCCTGCAGGAACGGGATATGGAAGTGGAAACTGTCTCAGCTTCGGAGGCAGCAGTGGTGTCGGAGGAGAGATCTGTGCTGGAGGAATGGGCTTCAGCTCTGGAAGCGGACAAGGCACAGCCGGGTCATGCATGGTTGGTGGAAGCAGTTCCAGCATGAAGTATGTCTCCACCACCTCTTCAACCAAGAGATGCTATTAAAGTCAGACATCAGCACTGTTAGCTAGCGTGTGCCAAGTTTCCTCTCATACTGTGTTCAATCCTTACCCTGCTACTTGCAAAAGATTTGGAAGTCAAAGCTGTCTGTCCTTATTTATATAAAACTTGTCATCTTCCTGTTTGTTCTTTTACTCTTTGAAAAATTAGTGTTTGTCTAATAAAAGGCACGTGAAATTAATTCTGTTGCATCCTCCTTTTAATTCCAATTACTTCACAGGACCTTGTGGAAAAGAGCGGCTGACAGCAGAGTAGAGCTGAAGCTAAACCAAAGTCGTGTGCACAAGAGCTGAGACCTTTTCTTCCTTCACACTCACTGCAACTCCTTGGACACCTCTTATATCCAACAGGAACAGAGCAGCTGGATGTTCCGTTCCCACTGTGTGATCAAAGTTTTTTAGCATCAGTATCTTCCACAGGACAGGGGAACATCTACTCTTCCTAGCAGGCACTAGAGAAAACATCCTTCTATCTTAATTTCTACATTATGGCATCTCAGCATTTTCATGCCACCTTGATTGTGCACAAACCCCTGTAATCTTTCAAGGTTTTATGTGATGAGTCATGTAGGGATATAAATCTAGTTTTTCCCAGGAAAGCAAGTACTTCAGCTCATGCTGTTCTGTACATGCACTAGCTGCAGGGGCTAATAAAATGTCGTCACTGCCATTATCATAATTAGAAAATGAAAAGACCCATTAGACCCCCAAACTCACCCTCTTTGGGAAGAATAATGTCCCAGACGCAGGCTGTGAGACAGTTAAAGACCCTGAGGGTAAGGAAGGTTTGGTTCCCCTTCTCTGATCTCCCTGAATAGTAGTAACAAGAGACAAACTACAAAAGCACCAAATATCATATTAAGAAAAAAAAAAAACGTGCTGAGATTACCCCAGCAGATTGTGCTGGTTCGGTCTCTGACACAACTCTGCCGAGTGACTAAAACACTGGAGGTAAATGTGATGCACATTAAGTGCATGCTGACTCCTAGCCTAAAGAGAAGGTGATATAATAAACCCCAGCTTTTCATTAATCCTCTAGACCTAAACACAATAACACACTACTGGAAAGGAAATGGCTTGTCCTCTTCAATGCCTCCTCATCTTTCTCTGGCATCTCTGGACCATATTTCCACTGACACCAGCAGAACTGGTATTTAATTTGTTATTTAAACACTGTTCAGCATCAAACAACCATCTGGTGACCTGGAATTTTACAAGTCAGGCTGTTTTCTCCCTGGGGGACCATGTACTTTTAGCTACCTCATCATTCAGCATTTCAGCTATGCAAAGCATCCAGATTCCCTCTGTAGCCAACAGAAAGGCACAGGTGCCTCCCAAATGATCATCTTTACCAGAAGTACCTCTGCGCAGATGGAGTGTTGCCTGCAAAGATGAGAAGTGCAGACCAAGACGTCTAACTTCTTGCCTAGATCAGGACAGGTTGCTCCTACCCCAAGACAGCCGGTAATCAGAGAGCAAAGTCAGTTTTTTCTTTAGCAAAGCATGTCAAACTGGCATTTTCAATATCTCTAGATTCCCTCTTGTGGCAACTTCAGTCCCATCAGCTTTAAACTAAATGGACACTGACACCATTAACCAAGTTAAAAGCAAACCCAAAGGGAACTTCCAGAGGTAAATATTTCTTTTTTTCCCCCACCAGTAATCCCCACTCTGAAAAATACTGGTTAGAAAATCTGGTTGGCTTTATGAGCCTGAAGTTTGCCAGCCTGTTGCATTAGTGAGTCTGGTGATTAACGGGTTGGGAAAGGTGGCCCCACGCCAGCATACCAAACCGATTAGCGCAGTCAACCGAGCTGCGGTCCTCTACGGACAAGCCCAGCTCTCCAAAAGGATAAAAGGCAGGGGGGACTCCTGATCCAAACTCCCAAAGCTTTCTACTCATCTGTCATCTCACCTCATTGTCCTCCGCGTTCGCCAGCGGTGAACAGTTGCACAGAAGTCAGTCGGCATTAGGTCGGGAGGACCCACTAAGAGTTTCGGTATTGCTTCTGCCGCTATGCCTGTTAACCGAAGCAGCTTCAGCTCCACGTCCATGTCCCGCAGCAGTGGTGGAGGCGTGGGACGAAGCAGCAGTGGTTTTGGCAGCAGGAGCCTTCACAGTCTAGGGGCAAGCAAGAGGATTTCCATGAGTGGAGGGTATTGTTCTGCTAGCCCGGGATGTGGCTATGGTTCAGGTCATGGTGGGTTGGCATACAGAATTGGTGGAGCTGGGTTTGGGTTTGGAGGAGGATGTGGCCCTGGAGGTATTCAAGAGGTCATGGTCAACCAACACCTCTTGGTACCTCTTAACTTGGAGATTGACCCCAACATGCAAAAAGTGCGGCAGGAGGAGAAGGACCAGATCAAATCCCTCAACAACAAATTTGCCTCCTTCATTGACAAGGTAAGACACTTTCCACTTAATCCAGCCTGGCACATTTGTCATTGCCTGTAGAGTAGGATCAGGATCGCTCTCAACATTATAAATTTACTTCTTAAACCCTTAATGTACAGAGTTAAAGACTTTATTCTGCTTGTTACCTCCATATCCAGACTGTTTATACAGCTCATCTTGTCAGAGCCCTATAGACAGTCTGGATATGGTGCAAATTATCTTTCCAGGTTTCTTTGCAGTTGAATATTGCTCCTTGTTTCCAAATCTTCCTAACAAAATGATCTTTTGATGACATGTTCATCTAAAGCCCACTTTAAATTACATAAAGCAAAATGGAAAACCCCCTCACATTAAAGCTCCCAGCTCACAAAAAGTGAGGCACGTTTTAAGTTGATGATCCCAAGTGATTTCAATTGTTCTGATGGGTTTCAGGTGCGCTTCCTGGAGCAACAAAACAAAGTACTGGAGACCAAATGGAGCCTCTTGAAAGACCAAAAAATTGTGAAAAATAACCTTGAACCCATGTTTGATGCGTACATCAGCAACATGAGGAGACAGCTTGAGGCTCTAGGAGGGGATAGGCTGCGGCTCAGCTCAGAGCTGAAGGCTATGCAGGATGCTGTTGAAGACTTCAAGATCAGGTAAGCAACACACACAGAGAAAGAAACCTGTCCAGTTTTTCATGCCATCTTCTTCCTTGATGAGTTAAAAGACCCAGGGCAACCCCAAAACTGTGAGACCTCAGAAAGGACTAAAATGACTCGGTTCCCCTCACTTTAGCTGCTGAATGTCAGCAGCAACACTATACCCATGGAAAGACAATTTTTTTGCAGGGACAGGGGAACTTTTTAAATGTTGCAAAAGGCTCAGATGGTCAGACACCCACAGGAATTCAGGTGGGGCTTCTCAAAAGCTTAGTCTGTTCAGAGCTTAAAGCATTTAAGCTTTCCAAATGGTTTCTGCTCCCATGTAGTCATTTTAATACAGACCAGGATGAAACCTGAATTTTAAGAAGACTATTAGGCACTCTGAACACGCACATTTCTTACTGATATGGAGTGAAAAATTGTCTTCAGGAGATAAAAACTGTCTAAAAAAAAAAAAAAAAGATTAATTTTAAGTGTGTGCTTTTTTTTCTTTATTTATTCTTTTTTTTTTTTTTTTTCTTTTAATTATTATTAAGTCCCTTAATATCAAGCACTTCTGAAAGTCATGAGTTAGCTTCCATCCTTTGGAAAGTCACCGAAATCTTGGGCAACGGTTTCAGCTCATTAGCTCTTTAGGTTGTTAGGAGGAGGCGTTCCCTTTCCCATCCACTCTTTGCACTTTGGAAAAACATCTATCAAGCTTTCGTGTCTGCTACCATGCCCATGAGGGATACACTGCCTAATGGATGTGAATAAGTAAGAAGATTAAATTGTTAATCTGGAACCAGAAAAACGAGAGATGAGAGCTAGGTGCGGGCTGTAAATCAAAACAAGGACACGCGCATTCTGCCAAATCCCCTCTGCTCTCCCTTTCTTGGGCGATCATGTGTCTGACACTTTCTGCCACCTTTACCAACAGTGCCTCTAGCCCAACAGGAGCATCGAGAAGAAACAACTGCCTTGGGGAAGCGCAATCATCACCCACAGTCTACTTTGAGACTTTTTTTTTATATGGTTCTCTGTGCCTTCAGCAAAGAAATGTTTAATAGAAAAAAATCTGCCCTGTGTCAGTTTGGCCATGTGAGACCTCAAGGTCTGCAATAAATCTGCCATCCAGATTTCCTTAATCCATTTTAGTATGGGAGAAATGATATTCCAGAGGTAGGTAGCCTTCTCCATCAGCTACAAAAGCAAACCCCAAAGAACAAAGCTTAGCCAAGATAGCCAGGTTCCCAGCTTTAAGCACAGTACTGCTATTGATTAACTGGGTCAGCAAGTCCTTCTGCTGTTCCCGTCACACGTCCATGGTGAAGGCAATTTTGAATTTTGAAAAGCAATGTCTAACATCTGCACAGTCTGGAGCAGCAAAGCAGCAACACAGAGCGCTCAGCTGAAAAAAGACCCTTGGCTGCACCACGACTTCAGACAAATCCTTTGACAACCAACAGTCATATCATAGAAGAGGTTCAGACTAATACTCTGTCTGCATCTGACAAAGTGGCAAATATTCTTTCTGGCTCCAGATCAGGAAACCTTTGGGCAAAAGCTCAATTACATCATATACATTTCTGGGGAGGCACCGTCATCTTGCATTGTGGCAACAAGGCCTACACCTTCCAAAAGGACGTCACTGCTGCTGTCCTCATTTCCTAGGGATTTGTTCTTCTTTACTTATTTTAAACTTTGTGGATGCCAAAGTATTCTTCCTAACGCTTTGCTCTTCTGAGTCAAATACTAATCCATATGGCAATTAGAAATTAGACACATGCCAAATTAGTTTTCCTCTTTTACGTGCCTAAGAGTTTACAGATCCACAAATCAATATACAGACTAGGACTTTACTTAATGGAAATGATTTTAAGGTTTGGATATTCATGATGTGAAGAAATCTTCCTCCATGAAAGGGTCATGAAAGGCTAATGTTTTATTAGCTGCATGGACTCCTTCCTTTGAACTCCTGTCTTTCATCTCCCCCATTTAATCATTTCATTTGAGCTGGGCATCAGTCCATGGCTATTTGCTGGTTTTTATCCTTTCCCAAGAGTGGGACTGTGATCCAGACTTGGGCTTTCCTTGCCCTGGCCATCATCCTCCCTCCGCCCTGGCCATCCCCAGCCCTGCCGAAGCCACCACAGGAGCTGGCGTCAGAGATCCCGGCTCTTCTGACTAACCCAGGCGTGGCAGCGATGAGCTCAGCCACAGCTCCACCCAGCCCTCCCAGCCTGAGAAAATTCAGAGAGTACAAGGCTCCCATTCACAGTGAAAACTTCTGGGAGGATAAAACGTGCCTTTAATGAAGGCCTGCAGCGTTTCTAGATAGCCTCCTCCCACCACTTAGCCCAAGGGTGCTGTCTTTCTATCATAATCGGTGAGATATATGTATCTAATAATACTACACATAATACCTGCACTGTCATAGCAAGGACATAGCACTGTTAGGTAGCTATTTTTGTTGTTTTCTCCAAAGATCTATGCATCAGTGGTAAACGCCCTTGGGAACAGACTCTTTAGTCCCTCCACAAGCACCCTGGGGTGGGTTGCAGTATAGAAGCTGCAAAGGGATGCTCATCTCCCCTTCCCAACAGGTATGAAGAGGAGATCAACAAGCGCACTACGGCAGAGAATGACTTTGTTTTGCTCAAGAAGGTGAGGCGCCAACAACAAAGAAGGGACACACTTTTTAAAGGCAAAACACATTTGAATGCAAATAACCCTTTTTATCCGGCAGTGCCAAGCTGGGCAGAGCACTTAGCAAACTTGTAGTCATCCCTCCTTGAAGCAGAAACACCCAGTTGTGCCACTGTCAGTCCTTGGCAATAGCTTGTTCTTGTTTCAGGCCCCTCATCCAAAATTCAGGTGAGTCCTGGTCCCTCAGGTTCCACATCAGATCTGGGTCATCCATACCTTCTAGTCCCTCCACTCAATGCTCTGCCACTTGTGCAGCCTTCCCATATCCAATCCCACCTTCCACAGCCCCCCCGGTCCCACCTGCAGGAAGCACAATAAGAAACTCCCACTATTTCAAGCATTGTCCAAAATATCTGTCTGTGCACTGGCAAAAAAAAAAGGAAATTCAGTGGCTTCTGACATGTGAAAAATTGCTTAGATCTATGGACATCATCCCTCCCTCCCCCCCCAAAAAAGGTGGAGGGAAGAAACCAGTTCACTCTTGGATCTGTTTAAAGGTACAGAGGTCAGGAAAGTCTTCAGTTCTGGTTTGTCTCCAAAGATTTGTATTAAATGACAACTGGTCTTTGTGCAAGGATGCAGATAGGTGAGGTTTGATTCAATACCTCTGTTGTTGCGGTTCCAGGATGGGGATGCTGCCTACGTGAACAAGGTGGACCTAGGGACCAAGGTGGATGCACTGACAGATGAGATTAACTTCCTGCGAGCCCTTTACGAAGCAGTAAGACTCTCCCAAATTTCCCAGTTCTGCCATTTCCCCATTTTCCTGATACCAACAGGATAGAACCAGCCTGAGAGAGCTGTTCAGAGCTGCAGTTCCTCCCTGTTCCTCCCCCTCTACCACTCATAATCTCTGGGATAAGCACAACAGTGAAATATTTGGGGCTGAGAAGGAATCTGTTTGACTTACAGGAGCTGTCTCAGATGCAGTCACAGATCTCCGACACCTCCGTGGTCCTGTCCATGGACAACAACCGGAACCTGGACCTCAACAGCATCATTGCGGAGGTCAAAGCGCAGTACGAGGACATCGCCAACCGGAGCCGGGCAGAGGCCGAGTCCTGGTACCAGAGCAAGGTGAGGATGTGAAAATTAACCAGGTGAGCTAGCAAAATTTTTCTTCAGCATTCCCCAAAGGGTATTTTATACTGAAGGGTAGGGTGTAAAATCAAGGTGATTTGGACAGGATTTCATTTAGTTTCTTGGACATGTGAAAATGCCATTTTGACAACAAGAGATAGACGAGCATATGGAGATAGAGGGAGGAAGGAAATATGCTAAAAGTCATGAGTAAGAGCTTGGATTGAGTACAGAAAGAGGTTGAAGTCCTGGTCAAGAAAAGATCAGAGCAGGGTCAATCTCTACCGATGAGTTCAAGCCCCTGCCCAGATGACTGCCCTGATGTCGCATCCCTCTGCCCATCTCAGTACGAGGAGCTGCAGCTCACGGCTGGCCGGCATGGGGACGACCTTCACAACACCAAGATGGAGATCTCAGAGATGAACCGCATGATCCAGCGGCTCCACTCGGAAATTGATAGTGTAAAGAAACAGGTATGGTGCACCGGACGCCTCCAAACATGGGGGCACCTCCACCTCCACTACCTTGCTGTACCCTTGCAAGGATGCCTGGAAACTGGGGTCCAAACTCACTGAGCTGTCACCACACCTATTTCCACCTCTTGCAGTGCGCCAGTTTGCAGACGGCCATTGCAGACGCTGAGCATCGTGGGGAGCTGGCTCTCAAGGATGCCAGGGCCAAACTGGCCGAGCTGGAGGATGCTCTGCAGAAAGCCAAGGCTGACCTGGCCCGGCAGCTCCGCGAGTACCAGGAGCTCATGAACGTCAAGCTGGCCCTGGACATCGAGATCGCGACCTACAGGAAGCTGCTGGAGGGCGAGGAGAGCAGGTGGGGGGCACCCCCTGCAAACCAAATAATGTCCAAACCCATATACGCTTTCACATTTGCCACGCAACAAGAGAGGGAAGGGTCACAAAAACTTGCAGGGAAAACACACCCCTGTCCTATGCAGTTACAGATGTTATTTCAATTCCTACTGGATGCTCATCGTCAGACCTTAACACCCCAGACCATTCTGTTATCCAGTGTCCTTAGTGCCAAACTTGCTTCAAATTGTCCTAAATAACAAGCCCTTTACTTCTCTGTCCTCTCTTTCTTCCAGGCTGGCTGGAGAAGGCGTTGGTGCAGTGAATATTTGTAAGTAATCTGGCTCATAAGCAATAGATTGAATATTAATCGAGTTAGTCCTTAAACGTACCTGGAATTGAGGATAAGGCAATGAAAATGAGCTATGCAGCTAGTAGTTACCAGCACAAAAATGGAGTGTACTTAAGGTTTTGCAGGGCTCTGCGGGACTGGGGAGGTCAAAGAGCCTGATACATCTTTTCTCTGACCAGCTCTGAAACTTGTAAGATTTTGTACAATGAGATTGTCCTTAGGAGACTCAGATGCTTAACACCAGCTCTGCTACAGGTTAGGAATAAAAGCCAGAGAGTAAGATGTGTGAAATACAGGCAGTGGTCCAAGAAAGAACATGAACGTGTGAAACTAAAGGCTGAAATTCCTTCATGCTAGTCCAAGCAAACTAACCCTCTGCCCATGGTTTCCCATCACAGCCGTGGTCTCATCTGGGAGCAGCTATGGAGGTGGGAACACGCTGGGGCTGGGGTCAGGCCTCAGCAACAGGCTCAGCGTGGGGGGAAGCGGTGCCAGCTCCAGCCTGGCCGGGGGATCCAGCTCTGGCATGGGAAGCAGCTCAAGCATGAGGTTTGTATCCAAAAGCACCACCAAGAAGAGCTATTGGAGATAAGTCGTGGCAGCACCCAGCTCACCCAGAGCAGAAGAGCTTGAGCACCGTCTCCTGCTGCCAGCACGAAGCCTGTTAACACCAGCCACAGTCATGCTTATCACTTTCCCATTAGGGGAAAACATATTCCCAGCGCTACTTATTGGCTTGGGAGAGGTGCCTCTTCAAGTCCAGCTACTTCCTCTGCATAAAGGCTCACTCAGCTGACCAGAAGCCCAGCGCTGCTTGTCAATGAGTAATCAGCCTTCCCATTAATGGGTGCCACTGCTAGAGCTCAGCTTGCAGCTTCCCCGGGCTCCCTTTTGCTCCAGTGCCCTCGTGCAAATCCAGAGTAGATGCAGGACTTAGATTTACACCAGTGTACGTGAAAGCAGAACGTGTCTCTTCACCTGCTTATGACAGAAACCAGGAGGTATGTTGAGACCACAGTCTCCTGGGCTCCCTCCTAATCAACCCTGCTCCCCACTGCCGGGCTTCGTCTCCCCAAAGGCTTGAAGAATTGAAAACGAAGTGTCTTTCAATATAGAGGCAGTTGCCCTGTTTCCCAATTCCTCCTGCATTACTGTCACGGCACTCCAGGACTCCCGAGCTCTACCTACATCCAAAAATGCAGCCTTCATTTTCCACAGGTAGAAGGGGTTGGCTCTCTATAACGTCTAATTCCTCACCCACCCAGTACATATCATTTAAGCTAAAAGACCACACAACCGACAGGTTGTTAGGCCTTGTCTCAGCAGCAAACTGTTCTCCTTTCCACCAGCCAGAGTGACCTTAAAGTAAAGCCAAGGGTTAAAAATACAGGAGAAAATAAAGGAGGAACAGCAGGCTTTGGTAACATAAATTTTACATAACTTGGAAAAACATCTCTGGTTTAGTGCCTTTGTTCTTAGCTTTTTTTTTTTTTTTTTTTAACTTCTCTTTTTACGGAAAGGGGAGGGAGGCAAAGAAGAGGGTTGGAGAATTATGTGCCAAAATGTAACTTGATCGTTTCCTCTCATCTTCTGCTCCTGTTGAACTGTATGAGCTTTATGACATTTCTTCAATAAACTGCAACCAAACTTACCATGAACAATGTGGGGTTTCTGTGCCATTATGAAATTCACCTAAAAGTGTAATTTTAGAATAAGGTTTAGAAGATTTCCCATAGGCACTCACTGTCACTCAGAGCCTTCCCGTCTCCTCCTCCTCCTCCCCATCTGTCCCAGAGAGGAGGGGGAACATTAAGTGTCTTGGTGCCCGGGGTCACAGAGCAGCAATACCCAAGCACTTTGGGAGGTTTCCCGAGTCGCACAGCCAACAGAGCGAGACCAGGAGGTGGGGCTGCTTTCACCTGGCCATGAACACCCACATCCGAGCTGGACAAAGCACACTTTGGGGTCAGACGAGTTGTTCCCCAGTAACACCTCTCTCCCTCTGTGGGACCGAAAGTGTAGTCAGCTGAAGACGTCTGCACTGCAGGAGCACTCCAAAAGGTGGTGTAAAGTCAGGACAGATGGATCCCATGCAGCAGAGCTAAACTTCTGGAAAGGCTCGTCTCAGACCTGCAGCTTGTGCAGGGAAAACAGGAGGGATTTATCTCCACCCCCTCTCTGGAGAGGCCAACAGAGCCATCAGGCCAAGTGCTAAACAAGGATGCGATCCCAGGGCAGTGAGATGCTCCCGAGCTGAGGTTTCTGTTGGGTCAGCAGATCGAAGCCGGGCTGGCTCAGACAAGCTGGCGGTACTGAGCTCTGCTCAGGTCTGTAATTAAAAACCCAAGGGAGAGAAAGCAAGAAAAGAAGCCAACATGACTTCTTCCATTTCACGGAAGATGCCAACTTATAGCAGCTGTTCTCCAGCATCCAGGGCCTAATCATGAAAGATGCTGAGTTTTCTGAACTCCTTTTAGGCTGTGTCCCAAGGAGTGCTTAGCACATACAACTCCCACACGGCTTTGCCCTAAAATGTTGTGCAGCTAAATGAGGCAGGCCAGCTTTCAGGCTTGCATGCATGAACTTCTCTCTGATCCTCTTCATGGAGCAGAACATGTTCTCAGGCTGTGATGAATGCCAAGAAAATCACATGAAAGCAAATGCACCTTTAGAAAAGGCTGAGATTTTCAGGGCTAAGCCCTAAGTGTTGTCCCACTGGAGGCAAAAGAATTAAGAGGGTTCCTACCCATGGCACACCGCCCTTTCGATATTTCAGCAAAGATGGGACTGAAAAGCACCTATTTAATTCTCTAGGAAAGACCTATCTGCTTTTCCTGCATCTTTGTCACGCCGAACTAACCTCCTTTTCTGAAAAATAAATACATATATATGGTCCAAACTTACATTCACAGGGGTTTGCCAAACAATTTCACCAGAAAGTAATGACCAAGCCCAGTTCTCCTGTGAACTAATCCCCACGGAGGACACTTCTGCAAGCAACAGGGTGAGAGGTGTCAATCTACCTGACCTGCGTCAGTCACACTCCCCCCAAAACTAGGGAAAACAACAGACTCCCTCTTCAGGGCATTCAGTGGAGGACAGAAGCACACAGGTAGCTTGAGAGATCACCTTGACCTATTCAACACTTGCCTTTGTTTTTTTTCCCAGCTAGTGCAAAGGTCTGAGCTGGAAAATCTTCCACTGCTTTCTCCTGCTCTCATACCCGCCTTTGCTGCACCGGTTTTCCGCTTGTAGTTACAGACCAGCAAAGGCCTAGCTCCAAGAAATACGCTTGCGCGGGTCCATCTCCAGTCCCAAGGGAATTACAAGATTGTTCCTGAGGCCAACAAAATTACAGAGGTCAAATGAAAGAAAGAAAGGAGTAAGTTACAGAATTAGACTAACAAAAGGAGCAGCTCTGGCTAAAGGCTAATGTAATACCAAACCAAATCAGCCCCAGTGTTTGGATGCCTTGAATATTCCCAAGAGTCCAACTCAGATTCTTCTTTTCCCACGTGTAAAACAAAGCAACGCTCCTTCCCTTGCTCCCAGTGCCCTGCAAACATCAAAAGATTGGTTCTGCTTCTCTCTTTCATACTTGCTATAAAAAAAGGGAGGTTTGCAAATGCAGGTTTTATGGGACCAGGGATTCCTTCCCATTCATATTAGAAATGCAGCCTATAACTCAACGATAGGTGGGTGCTTAAGAACGGCTCAGGTCACTGTTCAGTAAAAGAGACAAGTGAGATATTACCCAAACAACCTAAGCTCATAAATGTATTTTAAAATGGTGTTTAGGGGCTGGTTGTGCAGCCAAAGCCTGCTTTCCTGGGACACAGAAAGGCGAAAGCTCTGCCCCTCATCACCGAGGCTTCTGGCCAGATTAACCCACGTGCGTGGCCTCCTCCTTCTGCGTTCAGCTTCCCCCTCTGCCTTCATCCCCCTTTGAGCTGGTCTCCGCATCTTGCCAATCGTACAGTGTCTGCTCTGGAGATGGGGGCATGGGGGGGTGCTGCTCTTGCTCTGCTGTGATCCCCAGAAGTGTGACGAGATACGCTGTCAGCACCGCCTCGTGCTGGGGAGGTGGTGGCACGGGGTACCCCGGGCTGGGACGTTTCGGCAGCAGAAGCCTTGGTGGCAATGCAGGCTGCGTACCCAAGCCAGTGATCGGTGCCTGCCACCTACTGCCATATGGCTACAGCTCCTCAAGCACAGGGTTGGGCTACAGAGCTGCTGGCTTTGGCTACAGGGCTGGTGGAGCCCCAGGGGTCTGCACGCCCATTGCCAAGGTCACAGCCAATGAGCATCTGCTCTGGCCACTCAAGCTGGAGATGGACCCAAACCTCCAGTCTGCGAAGTACCAGAAAAAGGAGCAGATCAAGATCCTCAGTAACAAATTTGCATTTTTGCATTGACAAGGCAAGAGAAGAGCTGCCCGGCTCAGCGAGCATCGCAGCTGCAGAGCTGTAACAAGCTGCTCTACGGCACGTTCGAGACAAGGAATGCATCTGCCAAAGTGCTTACTGGCAACAGCAGCCAAAAGTCACTGTCTGACTTTGCAGTAAGGACCTGTTTGGGTTTTATGAGGAGGAGATTTTGCACCACCTTAGAGTAAAAAGGGGCCTTCAGTGGGGGCAAGAAGGTATTTTCATGCTCCAAGAGTGGTGTAAAGCAGTCTTATTGTAAATGACAGTCAAGCTTTGCTGTTACATGCAGAGAAACTGATTCTCTAATGCTCCATTTTTATATCACTTGAGCCCTAACTTTAGAATTACCTCTGAGTTACCCTGCTCTACTTTGGTGCTAAACCTAACTTGGTGGTTTTTACATAGTAACAGCCAAGACATTTTTTCTAAAGAACCTTCTTATGAGAAGACGCTGTTCGACAGATTTTAAATGCATGCCTTCTCCATTCACCCGGTACTATCCTGAACGACTCATAGATTTTATCTCTCAATTTGCCAATGCTGGGACTGTAACGTTCACTTCCATGTCACCAGTATAACAAATCACTACACTTTGAATTCTTTACTTCTGGGTTTCAAGTCCAGTTCCTGGAGCAACAGAACAAGGTGCTGGAGACCAAATGGGGATTTCTGCAGGAACAGAAGTGTTACAGGAGCAACATCAAGCCAAGGTTTGAAACTTCTATTGGCAACTTGAAGAGGCAGTTGCATCTTCTGGGAAGTGACAGAGCCAAGCTGGAAACAGAACTGAGCACCACGCAGGTCAGCATGGAAGATTACAAGAAAAAATAAGTTTAAAAAACATAAAAGCTCCAAAAACAGGACTAGAACTGACCCTCATCTAATTTTTGGATGGCAAAGGCTGCACAAGATGCAAGATCTCCTGCAGATGTACACGTATATGACTTGCATCAGCAGTTGGTTTTCATGCTGAGGTTGAGCGTTTGGAGGCAGTACAGGAAGACCAGATTCACATTATATTCTTGCTTAAACTGACTAACAAGGAGCAAAGTGATCTTTCTTCTTCTCCTTGAAGGTACGAAGCGGAAACCCACTGGCAAACATGTGCAGAGAATTATTTTCTTATGCTCAAAAAGGTAAGAGCATTTCAAACCAACCCAAACACTTATTCCAGGCTTTTAGTACGAACAGCAGCCAACACTGACAGAAAGAGGGTGAGACTGCTTCTCCCTCTCCAGAGACTCTAGAGGGACCTAAAGGCCAACTTTTAGGAAGATTTAATTAAAAGAGTTGAATCCCACCTTAAAGTGGGTCAGTTTTATCTGAGCTTATTCATTTGGGATGTTTGTATACCCCAACTGGTCAAAATCTCTCCTTCTCTGTCTCTAGTGATTTTTTGTCTTCTGTCTAAGAGGATAAGAGAGCAACACAATTTAATAGCATGGTAAAATTTATGTCGTTGAAAAGAACAGCCCTGAGAGTTTGCAATCTCATCACTTGCTGGCATTAAGCAGTTTGCTCTTTTGTTTCATAAATGCTCGACTCGCTGCAGGATGCAGATTGCACCTGCATGAACAAAGCGGAGCTGGAAGCCAAGGTGGAGTCCCTCATCCAAAAGATCAGCTGCCTGAGGAGCCTGTATAAAACGGTAATGGCTTTGCCTTTTCTGTTCTTCTTTCTTCCGCCCCACGTCTCTTCAGGGGGTCTGTGGAGTGAGGCTCTCACAACCCATCACTAAAGATCACAGAGATTTTTGGTGTTTCATGTTGACATCAGTCGATTGCTCCAGATTTTAAAGGTGTTACTCTTGCACTGCACACGCAAGATCTTCAGGAATCTGTTTCAACCTGATGGTGAAGGCAGAAGCCAGAGAGATTAAACCAGAAACCCCCTCTTTGGCTTTTCTGCAGTGACCCTGAAGTCATGGTACGCGGAGCCCCACCGCATCTCCTTGTCTCCACGCCGTGGCGATCCGCAGGGAAAATGCTTCCAGGGCAGACAACTGACAATCTTGCTGCTGCCTCTAAGAAATCATTCAGCGCCAAGCATCCATTTCAGACACTCTATTACTGTGCAAATGGACAAGGGCTGAAGCCTGGACATAGATGACGTCATTGCTGATGTCAAAGCTCAACATGACGACATTGCCACAAGAAGCCGGGCTGATGCAGAGTCCTGGTACTACAGCCAGGTGAGTCATGATGGACACTCACAAAAGTAGTTATGCCCCACTTCTGCTACGGGCTCTGCTGCTTCACATGGCCCAATTTGGGCTGAATAGGCTTTTTAAAGGTTTGCTTTCTCAGCCACCTTCTATGTTCTCCCTATGTGTGATACATCCTCTCTTAATGTCTTCACACACATGGCTGCTAGTGGGTAAATGAGTCATTCGTGTCCCCCAGTGACAAAGGTTTTTCCCTTAAAGCTCAAGATCCGTGACCGTGGCCCTAGAATCACATAGTAGGTTTAATTACTGACTCACCTCCTCACTCTGGTATTTATTTTCATTGTGCTTTCTCTCTCCTCAGTATGAGGAACTGATTGAAACCACCGGCAAACATGATGACAGCTTGCGTAACACAAGGAATGAAATTGTGGAGCTGAATTGGGTGATTCAGAGACTGACGGGAGAATGTGAAGACACCAAAGCCCGGGTAAGGATGACTCAGGGGCAATGTGTCCAAGGCAATTCCCCGGTTGTGGCTTTCCAGAACTCCTCTGCTAGAGCAAGGGAGCAATAAAGCCAGTTTTGATGAAATACATGTTATCTGCCCAACTCTAAGACTTGCCTGTAATCCAGAGTAAAGAATAAAATGGTTTAGTATGACTAATAACTGAACTATCATAAGTAGAGACCTGCAGTGAGAAGACAACACATACCCCAAAGTCTCAGCTACGCAGAGAGAATTGTCCTAGAGTTAGAGGCTTACCCAGAGAGTCTGAAGATATAACAAAGTACGGGTGGATAAATACACAGACAGGCAGAGTCAAGAGCTCTGAACTCTTGAAAGCACATGGAAATGAGTGGCAGGAGTGAAAATCTCCTACCTGCAGAGACACAAACTGGAAGGAGCTATGGCTGAAGCTGAGGAGTGCGGGGAAGTGGTTGTCAAGGATGCAAAGTGCAAACCCTCTGAGCTGGAGGTATCCCTGCAGAAAGTGAAGCAGGACACAGCCCACGAGTACCAGGAGCTCATGAACATCAAGCTGGCCCTGGACATCAAGACTGAGACCTACAGGAAGCTGCAGGATGGACAGAGGAGCAGGTTAGTGCTGGTACAACCCTGCAGGATGCCTGCAAGGAAGAAATAGTAACACATCTAACCCCACAACCACCTTCCATAGTCTGCCTGGTGAGCCATCACCTCTGTACCTGCAGTAAATCCCACTGAGATCTGATGTCCTAAGGAATGACATTTTCCAAAGCACTTTCCAGCATTTATGGACCCAAATGCCCTACAAAGTCGAAAGCCTCTAATGCACTCAGACACCTCTGTTTTCACACAAGTGGAAGACCGTGCATGAATAAAGATGATGTCTTGTGTAGCCTCAGGTTTTATCAAGCCAAAGGCTCAGCCACAGTCATGCCTGGCCACCTTTGCCACCCCAGCCGAAATGGCTGGCTACCTAATCACACGCAAGCTGATTGAGGGGACCGAGAGGAAGCCCTTGGCCAAGACTTGTTCACACTTACACACATGGAGCCGAAGCAAAGCCCCTGCCCTTCTTGGGCGTAACAGCGGACCTGGGGAAACTTCCTCCCAGGCATGAGCTGAGCGGTCAAGCCATGGTAGGTCCAAAGCACTTGCCTGGCCTGCCAGCATCTTCCCACACCCCCAAACCTCCCAATTATCGGCCAGTTATAGGGACACACACTAAATACAGACTTTGGTTTTTACACATCTCCATTTTCCCCTCAGGTTGTGTGCAGATGGTGGCTGCCCTGTAAATATTTATAAGCACCAGACAAATCCCTATTCCTATTAGTCCCCCAGGATCTACTCTGTAAGATGGAAATCCCGAGCTGAAACGTCTCCTTTGCAGCTGTGTGCTGATCCCCAGGAAGAATCATGTGCAATACCGACCCATGCTTTGGCGGCAGCTACTCTTCCAGCAGCAGATCCCTATTCAGAAGCAGAGGTCTAGTGCTGGGAGGAGGCGTCCGTGGCAAAAGCATCAGGGTCAAACTTGTGTTCTCTACAACCTCTTACAGGCCAAAATAATAAAAAAGCCCAAGCATTCGAGAGGAGGTTAATCACTCCACCAGCTCGTAGCAGAAGCAGCCTGCTAGCAGCACACACAGAAAACACGGCACCGGGGGGGGACTTTAAAGCTTTCAGTCCAATCTGCGCTGCATATTCCCTGTAACTTTCACTACTGTTATGGAACTTGCTCTTTTCATCACCTTATGCTGTATGTTTACAAGTTAGCTCTTCCCAAGGTTTATCTGTTCCTCCTGGGTTGTGTAGGTCCAGCAAAGCCCGGACAGCAATGCTATTTCAACAAGGCAGTGCATAGTTGGCACAGCCTATGTATTAAGGAACCACTCACCTGGGAAGATAACTGGGTTGGAAATACTAAGTGATACAAGTTTCTGCTCCTCCAGTGCATGGACATGATTGCAACAAAAAGTTAAAAATCAAAGGAAGCAGGGAAGTCTTACTTAGATCTTACTTTTATCTTGTTTTTTCTCTATTTCTCCCCAATAAACTGACACAGCAAATCGGAGATCACATGATATAGCTCCTCTTTTCAGAATTACAAAACACACAACCACAAGGCAATTAAACAAAAAAACAGAAAACAAACCCAAACTCAAGTGAAGGCCAAGATCATCTCTCAGAGACCCCAAGAGATCCACTGGCTTTTGGAAAACGTGGGGTGTGGAGCTGCTCCACGGGACCAGGGCGCGGGGGCGGAGATGGGGTCACAGCGTGTCTCTCCCGCCACGCTCCTCCTGTGTCCAGCACCCAGTGAACATCGTACCCCTGGACCTAATCCCCTAAAACCAGGGTGAAAGGGGCGGGGGAAATTCGCTGGGGGCTGAAAATCACCGTGGTGTGACCGACCTGCCAAAAGTGGTGACAGACAGACTGCGTGAACGCGGCTGGGATGCAAGAGATCACGAGAACAGGAACAAAACCAGGGGATATTTTCCCACTCTGAAGCCTGTGGTGGGATGGAAGAAAAGGAATTTGTCCATCAAAAAGGTTTTCTGAAACAAAATGTTTTTTTTTCTTGGGTTTTCTTTTTTCTTGTTTGTTTTTTTTTTTTTTTTTTGTTTTGTTTTGTTTTTTGTTTTTTTTTTTTTTTCTTTTGGTTATTTTTGTGTGGGTTTTTTGGAGATTTTTCCATTAAAAAAAAATTGTAACACCAAAACGTCTCACTCCCAACATGCTCAACCCAATTTGAACTATTTGTCTTAACTGAGCTAGTTCAAAACATTTCAGGGTTTTTTTGAGTCAGTTCAACAATATATTCAACTGCCTTTCCCTGTTGCATTAGAGAACCTGCAGCTTTATCCACCATCCCTCTCCTTTTGGGTCAGGCTCCCTGCAAGCCCAGCCTCCCGCAAACCCTGGCCTCAGATTTCTGTCCAAAAGCACTGGACAGTTGCATTTGGTGTCAGTTGTCTCAGCAAAAGCAGAAAGCATTTTCTAGGATAGCGACGTGGAGCGAAGAGATGCAGCCAGAGCCGCAACACAAAACTACAGTCTGGAGCAACATGGCCTGACGCACGAGGGTTTAGGAGAATCACAAATCGGCTCTAGCTTTCCCCTAAGGATGTCTGTGAGCCCCTGAGCCAAAGTGTCCAGGAGCTCCCAGATCCCTACAACAAAGCTGGTAATTTTGGCTTGCAATGGTAACCAACCACTGAATGGGGAAGGGGGAAGAAATGCAGTAAACAAACCAAAACCATTAGTTTGAAACTTCCACCCTGCCCCTCCAAAACAGGCCAACCTCCTGCACAGGGACACGGGCACCAACACCATCCCTGTCCTTCCAAGGACCCGGACACACGCGTGTGAACAGCAAAGCCAGGAAGAGTCGGAGCCCTGACGCCACAATGAGGGCACTTGCCCAAAGTAGGAGGTGAAGGAGCAAGCCTGGCCCTGCCCCAAGCCCGGTGGGAGCCCAGCATTCAAGGCGAGGGATGAGGGGAGGAGGAGACACCCGTTTTCTGAGGATTTGGCCAATAAGAGTGTCTGCAAAAGCTGCCGTGTTCCGAGCATCGGTTTCCATTTCAGCCAATCAGCAATTCCCCCCAAAGAAATTACCATGTTGGAAAACAGTTATATCAGCAACCTGCAGAAAAAAAAAAGGTTTGGCCCCACAGATGTTTCCCTGGCATTGAAACACGTTGCCTTTTTATAGGCAGAACCAACAAAACATGGTCATTTACCACTAACCTGCCCGCAAGACTTTGTTCATTAATTCTCAGTAAATTCACATGTATTACTGATAGTTTTTATTAAGCAGGAGATTGAATCACATTCACCTTCAGAGCTCTTACTCACAAGCTCAGGTACCAGCAAAACATAAAGATCTCCTTTGATAGAAAAGCATTTTACATTTTCAAAGTCTCAGTTCCACTTCATCCAATCTATAAAAAGGGGAACATGCAATTTTTTCCATGTCCTGAAAACAATTCACCCGGCCCAACTTCCCTAATTTTTGTTGCTATTACACAAGACCCAAATATGACCCCTCTGACTTAACGCCGTTCTTCAAACTTTCATGCAGCCAATGTGCTGCTGCTTTCTCAGCTGGTAAGCACAGCATATGTGAAGTAGTTCACATTCTTTGTATCATAATCATTCTGTGGAATTTTCACGTGGCCTCACCCCATTTTCCGGGCAAATAAAAGGAAGAAGGTGCTCCACTGTGCTTAGAGGGAACTGCACCCTGGAATCTGCTCCCAGCACGTCGCCTACACCAATTCATCTCCCACCAGCAACCATATCCTGCTGCTCCTACAGCATCAGCTCCGGCCATGCCATCAGGAATTTCAGCTCTTCCTCTGTAGCTCTTGCCCGGAATTGATGTATTTTCAGCACTGTATCATGTCACGGGGCGGTGGCATGGGCTACCTCAGCTGCAGGAGTCCTGACGGTGTGCTCCAGGCGCAGAATAGCTGTTGGAAGATCTCCTCCTCCAGGACATGGATATGGCTTTGGTGCAGCTGGCACAGGGTTGGGCTACAGAGGTGCTGGCTTTGGCTACGGGGGTTGGTGGCCACGTCCAGGCCACGCACCATCCCACACATCCCCATCAATGAGCTACTGCTCCAACCGCTCGGCTTGGAACTCGATCCCAACATGCAAGTGGTGAAGAACCAAGAGAAGGAGCAGACCAAGATCCTCAACAACCAGTTGGCTTCTTTCACTGAGAGGGTGAGCTGCAAACCCCTCCCCAGCTCCAGTTAGCAAGCACTAGAGACCAAGTGAGGTGTCCAGCGTGGAAAGGGCATGGAATCCTTGCAAGACAAGTCATTGGGGGCAACATGCGTAAGGGCGCCTGTTGAGCACCAAGGTGTTTATGAGCCACTGGGGAATCTTCAGTGCACAGACGCTATTGCTCTGACCTCTAGGCCTGACGACAGGGAAGGAGTAAGCTAAAGCCAGTTTCATCAGCCTTCCAGTTCCCCCCCATTCTTCTCCGCATATCCCCAATTTACTGGAACTCTCTTCTTTCTAGAAGTGCTTATTCTTTTTGTGCATTTCCACATGGGTGGCCCAGAACAAAAGCACACCTGATTAGGAAACCCTGCATGCATGTGTACCGAGAGCAGGAACACACCTCACGGCTGTTGCATGGACACTGGCTCTCACGAGCTCTTAATCCTCACCTTGTTTCCTGGTCTGCTTTCTGGGGTTCAGGTTCGATTCCTGGAACAGCAGAACAAGGTGCTGAAGAGCAAGTGGAGCATTCTGCAGGGTCAAAACCACAGCAAGAATACCCTCATGCCCACGTTAGGGGCTTATACTGGTAACTTGAAGAAGCAGCTGGAAGCACTGGGATGCAACAGAGCCCAGGTAGAAACAGACCTGAAAGCATTACAGGAGGTTTTGGAAATCAACAGGAAAATGTAAGTGAAAACCAGAGAAATGCTAGTCCAAAACTCAAAATGTTGTTCAAGATTCACAAACAGGCAGAGACCGTGAGCTTTTTGTGGTAGCAAATATTTCCCAGATAACTACTAGGCAGATGGAGAGATCTATCGGGAACTCATTGTACAAAACAAGGTCCCAGTTTACAGAGAGATGGAGGAAACGGAGGATGCTGCTTTTCCAGGTTCTCTTTCTCTCCTTCCTAATTCAAAAAATTAACATTTAGAAATGTTCAGCAGCTTTTTGCTGTTGCCAAGGTCAAATGAAAACAGTTCTGCTGAAAATTTGTAAAGATACCGAAATTTCTCTGCAAACATGCTTGCTTTCCCATGGGCTATGAAACAAGACCAAAGCATCCCAAAACACTGTTTGGGGAGAAGGGAAGAAAATTGGGAGTTTCATTTCTTGAAAGAAGGCCTGCAGAAACCCAAACAAAGATGTAATTGCACTGAACGCAAACATCTCCCATTTTCCCACGCAGGTACAAGGACGAATGCAGCCAGCGGCCGTGCACCCAGAGTGAGTTTGTTGCCCTGAAGAAGGTGAGCAAGGGGCTGTTTGAACTCTCCTCTCTGGGTTCAGGTCTTTGGGGCGCACGCGGTGATTTATTTCCCAAAAGCAGCACGCAAAACAAGTACAAGCAGGAGTTGCTGCTTGGGTTTGCTTGAACTCAAATCAGCAGCAACCGTGTAATTGGGAGCTGGCGCAGGGTCATGGTACCAGCACCGAAAGGCCCTCACCCCAAGGGTAGCCCTGAGTCTGCTCTTGCTAACAAACTTCCTTCTTCTATCCCCAACATGTCTCTAGGACGCGGACTGTTTTTACTTAAACAAAGCAGAGCTGGAAGCCAAGGTGGAAAGCCTGAAAGAAGAGGCTGAATTCCTGAGAATGTTCTACCAAGAGGTAAGACGTCTCCCCGTTGCTCCAGCCATCGTTTGCATTTCTCAGCTGGATTTTGAAGCTGCTTAACCCAAAGGACAGAGAAAGAGGTGGTAAGGCAGGGCAGTGGTCATCCCTGGGGTGAATGGCAAGAAGCAGCAATTCTTCTCTGCAAGGTCACTGCAAAGGGGGACGAAGCAGCACGGTGCGGATAACCCACCAGCTTGGGGCTGGACCAGGAGCAGAGCAGGACCAGCATCTCTCTGACCAGCTCAACCCCGTGTTGCCACCAGGGAATCCACCATCTGCGGGCCCAGATCTCAGAAACGTTGGTGGGTGCGACGATGGACAACGGCCGAGATCTGGAATCAGATGGCATCGCTGTGGGCAGCACAGCTCAGTACGAGGACACTGCCCGCGGGTGCCAGGCAGAAGCGCAGGCCTGCTATGAAAGCAAGGGGAGAAAACCCGGCTGAGGGAGGGTTTGGGTGCAGTTTCTCTCATCATACCAACTTAAAACCGAGAGAAACATCCCCCACGCTCCTGATTCACTCCGATTTAACTCAAAGCATTGTTTTGGGGGGATGCAACAATGTCTTTTGGGCTTGAGGAGCTGCAAGTCACTGCAGGGAGAAATGCTGGCAGCCTGAGAGAGACAAAAGACAAGAAAGCTGAGCTGACCTGGACAGTCCAGAGACTGAACAGAGCCATCAGGAGGGCCAAGGACCAGGTGAGCACAGCCAAGTCTGGTTGTTTCAGCAGGGCAGAGAGATTTGCTCTTCCCGCAAGCTCCCACAACTAAATTAAATGGTGCTGTAGCACCTTGCAAAGGGTGTTAATGAGCTGGGACTCTGCTGCTGCAGCAAGGGCTGTGTTAAAGCCAAACTCGTGCAGCACCTGAAGGCAGATGGGGTTAGAGCATCCCACTCCCTGCAAACAACACGAGAGCACTGGAACTCCATGTCCAGCTCCCTTGAGCCCCTGCTAGAGGGGACTGCGTGTCCATCTTACTGCTGGGCTGAATGCACAACCAGACTTTAAACCCATCTCTTGCTAACGCCTTACGTCTGAAGAGAGAAAGAGGCAGCTAACACTGACCGTGCCTCACTCCTTGCAGCGCTGCAAGCTGGAAGCCGCCGCGGCCGCCGCCGAGCAGCGCGGGGAAACGACCGTCAAGGATGCAAAGCACAAACTCTCCGAGCTGGAGGCAGCCCTGCAGCAGGCCAAGGCTGACCTGGCCCGGCAGCTCCGCGAGTACCAGGAGCTCATGAACGTCAAGCTGGCCCTGGCCATCGAGATCGCGACCTGCAGGAAGCTGCTGGAGGGCGAGGAGAGCAGGCGGGTGACAGACCCTAGCAAGGCTGCACAAGCTGCTTTAGATGCATTTGTTGAAAGGAAGAACAATTAGACAGTGCCATTTCAGAGCTGCCACGCTGCAAATCAACCACATAGCCCTGAGGCAGATCTGTTCTTCCCATCAGTCCTAAACCAGACCCTCACCAGTGCCCTAATCCTAACTCTAGCCCTAACCCACCTGAACAGCCAGTCCTACTGCCTCCAAACAGGGAACGACAGACTAGAGAGGGTCAGGCTCACATTTGAGGCTAAAGCGCTTTGCATTTGAGGATAGATCGATAACGTGCAACCTCTTGCCATTCTTTACAGGCTCTGTGCAGAAGGCGGCTTCCCCACCAACATCTGTAAGTTGGGTCGTTCACCTTCTACCAAACTGGAGCATCTTCTGCCTTTTCTCCAGGGAATTCCCCAAGCTGAAACTCAGCTTTGCTCTGCCTTTTGCAGCTGCTTGTCGCCTGCAGGGGGGTCTCACCTACAGCCCAGAGCCTGGCTTTGCAAGCGCCCGTGTGTCAGCCAACAGAGACTCGTGCTGGACCAGCCGCGTGGGGGTCTGCAGCACAGCGCTGAGCTGCAGCGGCCGCGTTAGCGGCAGCAGCACGAGGAGCTCCCACATGAAGGTGGTGTCCACGACCAAGTCAGCCAGGAGCAACGTGTAAAGAGCTTCAGATGAATGGCAAAGCTGAAAACGAAGCAACACGTGCTGCTGCCAACACACAGCAACAGCCACGCCAGAGCCGGTGTGCACCGAGCTCCCCCATTTTCCACTGCGGGGAGATACAAAAGGCAAAGAGGTCTCTTCTATCCTCAAGAGTTTTGCTATTTCTGCTTGGGAATCTAGGAGCTAAAAGGGCTAAAATCCCACTCATCACTCCCATTATGCAGTTAAAACAAGATGCCTTGGGTGTAGTTCCCTGGTCTTCCCACTCCTACGGATTCAAGGATTAAAATGAAGTAGGAGAGAGGGCACCTTCTGCCTAAGAGTATTTTCATTAGAGCTTTATCTGGCAATCTGTCTTAGCAGCTCATAACCTGGATCAAACTATTTTTATCAGTCAGCCTTTAAGATTATACAAACCCCCTTGGCATGAGCAGAACTCCCCTAAAATCGCCTAGCTTGCAGTTTCCCTACACATGACATTGATTTCATTAATTATTTGCCCCAAAGGATAGATTTTGAGGGCTGTTGCTGTTTGAAGGCAGTCTGCTCATATACTTACATTACCTGTTTTGAAACCGTACCTCAGTTTTCCTCTTTCTTCAGGTTTTTTAATGGTCCGGCTCATTTGTTGCCATAAATGCCGCCACAGCTGAAGGGTCTGGGGGCCAGAGTCCACTGGCAGGTATGAAAGGGGATGATCCATCGACGTGTCTGGCCCTAAGACACACAGTTCTCTGTGATCTTGTTCAAGCGATCCAAACCCAACCTTAAAACACATGGGACCGGCATCAGTTGCCTTCCCGGTTGTCCAGTACCCAACACACACACACACACACACGTGCAATAAGTACATTAACTCTATTTGAAGGAAAGGAGGAAGTGGTGATTTGTTTCTAATGACCGTGTGTTTTGTCGGTGGTTTTTATTCTAGCTTTAGTCTTGCATCTCCAATAAATTGACATAGCAACTCAGTTACCTTCATCTGGGGAAATGAGGGCTAATTCTTGGGATATAAACATAAATATACACACACACACATTTATATCTATAACATATATAATACAGGGCTCTAACCAGGCACAGGCCAAGCCCTCCAGCCGCTGGGAGCCCCTCCTGCCTAACCCAGCCACTGCACCTCAGTGGTCTCTCATAACCCCCCCCCACCCTCCGAGCACATGAGCAGCTACGCAAGGAGAGGCCCAGAGTCGAAGGCACAGCTCTCTTCTTCCTCACACCTGCACACAAGGAGCAGGCTCCATTCCACCCAACGCTGGGCGTTTACGACGCTGGCTGCCAAGGAGGCACAAGAAACAGGTGCTGCCTAGGTTAGCTGCCTTCATTAGGACAGGGTGGAGCCCTAAATGATTTCTCCCCCAGGAAAAACAAGCAAACAAAAGCATTTAGAGGGCACTGACTAAGCAAAGATGCTCTAGAAATTTGCATAAAGCTAACTGAATCTTTTTATTACTATTATTGGTTGCTAAATCCCCTTAAAACCATCACTGATTGCCTCAAGTTGCCTGGAAACTCCTCAAAACCAGGTATCAGGAGCTGCTGGATGGTTTTATACCCCCTCGTCCCTCCACTCATCCTGGCCCCGCTCAGCTCATTGCAGTCACCCCCCAGGCAAAGCAGACCCAACTCCCAACCCACGCTGCGTGCCTCTTCCCAGGCTGCAAGCGCTCCAGCACGCGAGCACAAAGTCCCCCCATCTCCAGCAAGAGGCTGGAGGACCTCTTCCCATCTCCACTGTATGGGGTGGTGTCCTCTGCAACCTCATCAAGCCAATTAGGCTTCCCATCAAGGTCTTCCAGGGGGCCACCTTCCCAGGATAGGGGTTGTCTCCCTTCCACTTTGCTCCTCCCCGCTCGGTGGAGCTGGGGACTCAGCCCGGCCCGTACGGATTTCACGCCATTTAATTCCTTTTAAACATAAGATGGAAATCTCAGTCAACCTCAGAGCAGGGTTTTGGCCTCAGTAGATACTGAAAAACTGATGGAAACTGAAGCAAATGCTGCTTAAACACCGGGGAACCAAAGAAAGCTCCCCACCATCTGCAGCCTTCTTCCCAGGCCTGGTTGCATCCAGGCGCTCACTCTTCCTCTGCCTCAGTTTCCCCACAGAGCAGAACAGAACTTACCTCCTTTGTAAAACCCTCTGACACCTGTGGACAGACCTCAGTCCTGCTAGTGCAGCAACACATGTCCACCCTCGCAGCCCAGCGTTCGCAGCTGCTGCTGCAGCACTGCCACAGGGGCGGGTGGAGGGAGCAAAGCGGCCCAGGCGGGAATCCCAGGGACGCTCAGCAAGGGCACAGCGTTCAGCTGGGGCGCCCAACTGGAGAGAGAAAATCAGGGCAGCTCGCTAGGAGGGGAGAAATAGAGGCCGAGAGCAAGCTCGGATGGCAGAAACACTCAAAGAAGTATTGCTTAAAGTATTAGATAAAAACTTATAAAGTATACCTAAATAAGTAGTATAAAGTATAATTATTGTGCATTTTACCCTGCAGAGAGCAAGAGGCAGAAGCTGACGTGCTCCGAGCCTTGGCAAGGGTAGCTGGGCTTTGTACTTGCATGGAAACCAGCAACATTGTAGGAAGGAAAAAAATAATTTTCACTGCTTTTACGAGCTCAGGAAGCAGCAAGATTTCCTTGTAGAGTTGGCTTGGAAAGAGGAAATACTCCTGACCACCAAATGAAACCAGCTGGGCATCTCTGATGCCTGTGAGTAAAGCCCAGGCACGGTGTGAGTTCCTCACGGCTAACACGCTCCCACCAGGGCAGAGCTATGAAGGTGTTTAACTACCAGGGTGACAGCCAAGGGCTTGGAGATGTTTTGGTGAGGAAGCCAACACTTACAGTTATGGAGCTGTATGCAAGGCTGAAACTACACCGGTGAGTACAGAGAGATGGATGCGCTCCTGGCTGTGCAGCATAACCTGCCTAAATCATAACAGGAGAGAAAATGGGGCTGGGATGCCCCAAGGCATGAACAGAGCAGCGTCCCTGAGGTGGCACCGGATGGGTCAGAGGACTTGCCCACCTGAGGAGGAACTGCTCTCTGCAATTGTCTTTTGCTCTCTGCTGGGCTCCCTCTTTCCCTCAACTTGTGTCTGCAAAGCTGCACGACCTCCTGCTTTCCCGAAATCCTTTGAGCTCCTCCCCGAACTACAGCAGCTTGCTGGGTCACTCCGATGTCCCGAGCAGGCACGCTCCCGGCTCTGCACCAACGTGAACACCCTTTCTCTGTGTACGACTTCGGGCACATTTCAGATGCTTGTTATCCTTCTTAGTCACTGCTGCAAAACGGGGAGGCCAAAAAATATTGCTTTGTGGTCCATCTGACCCCTTTTTCTACCTTTTATACCCCTGAGGCCTGCACGCTCCCATCATGGTTCTTTTTTCGCCTCTCTTCTCTCCAGCAGCGCCATCCTGCCCGCCAGCACGGGCAGCCCGGCCGCTGAGCAGAGAAGCAGTGGGAGGCTCAGCCCGAGCGACGAGAGCCGGGCGACGGCTCTGCCTGCCGCCGGGCGGGCGCCAGCTCCCAAAGCCGCTGCCCCGCCGCTCAGCCCAGCAGCCGTCGTGCTCCGCGGCGGCAGGCTCCGGACCGCGTGGGTGCTGCTTTTCCCTGGGTCGCGTCTCCTTCCTCTGGAAGTGCCAAAATCTCTGCTGCAAAGCTGCCTCTGAAACTGCGTTATTTCTCCTGAGCGCAACTTGCAGAAATTGCACTCAACAGGAGACTTTCAGTACACCTGCCTCTACGCTGATTCAGGGCGCTCAGCCCTGATAAGAGCAGCATCCCCCCTGAAGCAGAGATTAAATTTCGACCACTTACTTAAGGAACTTAATTAAGAACTTACTTCTCTTCAGTGTGACTGTCCCCACTCCGGGGGGTTAGTGCCTGGCAAGAGGGGTGGAATGCCATCAGGAAAGCCTGCAGCCACTTATGGCCCCAGACTGAGCCGAGAGCGGATCCAAAGGACGAGCAGGGAGCACCAAGGGCACCAGTCTCCATGGGCTCACAGAGGGATCTCACGGCATTTCCCGGCGGGTGCAGGTCCCCTGGCCCCTGTGCGTGGTTCTGCTGCAGCCACACAGGCTGCGGGGCAGCGCGGCGCGCGTCATACCCGGAAAGTGAAGAGAGGGCAGAGGAGCCCTGCGCATCTCTCGCAGGGCTGAGACCCACAACTCCTCGTGACGGCAAACAGGGACACCTCCTGCCAAAAACACCCGGGCACGGGCTACCTTGGAGCTTTGCGTTTCAACCAACTTCAGGGGATTTTTTTCATTTCACTTCTTGGCCGCGACATAAAAGCCGCGAGCTGGGTGTGCCGGGCGGCCGCCAGCCGGGCTCTGCCCTTAGTGCCGCTGGTGGAGGGAACCCCCGCGGCTCCGCGCTGCAGCGGCTCAGGCGCTGGGCGCTGCAGCCCCGGCGGCTGGGCAGGAGGCAGGTGGGAGAAGCGTCCCCCCAGGCCCTGGCAGCCTCGGCACCACCCTCGCCCTGGAGGAAATGGCTTTTCTCAGGGACTACAACACCTCTGCCTGGTCCCAGCCCCACGGGGTGCTGCGCCAGCAGCCCCAGCAAGGGCTCGCAACGCTTCTGCACTGGGGCCCTACGAGAAGAACGGAAGCAAGCACCGAGCACCTTGGGGTGAGCTCTTCTCCCCCCACGCTGCCCCAGAAGGAGGAGGAATGAGCTGTCCGCAGGCAGCAAGGCCCAGATTCGCCTCCCCACGCTCTGGCCACGTCCAAGAGAGGCGCCTCCTCCAACGCTTGGCTCCTCGGCTCCGCGCCGGGGGTGGCGCTCAGAGAGGGATTGGTCTCGGTTTGGGTCCTGACCAGGGGCCGGGCTGCAGCCAAGTGCTTCAACAAAACCAGTCCCATCGTCGCACTGCCCAGACTCGGTGCAAGGCGGGCAGGGGAAACTCGCCTGGGGAGGGAAGAAGTGGGCAGGCAGCAAACCCTAAATCCTGACCCTGAGCACAGCGCGGCACTGCCC